TGCAGAGAGGAGAAGGAGGAGTTGCTCAGAGGATGGGAGAGGAAGGCCTGGCTTGACCACAGCAACTCTAAAAGTCAAGTGAGGGGGCTCAACACTTCTCAGAAATCTCAATGACCTGGGGGAGGGAACACCTGGACCAACACCAGCTCTCAGGAGATCCTGGAAACCCACAGGCAGCCTCTGTAATTGAGCATTTAAATGGTGTTAAGGGGACAGCAGAAGACAAAGGACACAGAGCATGAGGACACCGCCATCAATCAATGCTGGGTGAAATGATGGAGTGGTCTAATTTGGGCTGTGTATTAAGAAAGGGCAATAGGACAGAAATACAATTACTGTCCAGAAATACCATTTGGCAGAATGTAGGTCCTTTCCAACTCACCTGTCATCTTGTCTTGACATGGTTACAGGATGGGTTGATAGGAGAACTCTGCTGATAAAATAAAATCACATTTCTTCTGGGCATCTGATTTATTATGGAGTAACATTTTGATTAAAAATGTGTAACATATTGCATTAAGTGTGCATCTAGTCAATGAATTAAAGACCAACTCAGTGACAGATCTCTGTTGGCAAGGGTCTCTGGACTGAGTTTTGGTCATTGCCTTTTTCAGCTGTTTTAGAAATGATGCAAAACCTCCCTTGGGAATGCAGGAATCAAAAGGCAGAGGGGATAGGGGGTTTGTCAATCCCCCTGGACTTTGGAGTCACCCTAATGCCAGGTCTGCTTACCGTTCTCTTTCCTTGGATATCCTCCCCTGAGCCTCAGCTCCAGGGCAGCTGCCACAGGATTCCTGAAAGGACATTCAAGGGGACATGGATGACAGGGCCCCTCCTCATTGCCAACTGTGTCCCCCATGGGGGGGCCTGGGTGGTCCCCAGGGTCCCAAGGATGTTCAACTACTAGAGTCACTGTGGCACCTCCCGTGCTCATGGGATGGGGTTTGAGGAGTGGTGGCGTCTTGGGGATCTTGTTCAGCAGAGCTGAGTGTGCATCCCTGGACTCATTCCCTGCACTCAGTGATAGGAGGTGCTGGTGTTTCACTTGGCAGATCTCGAGGCCACACACAGCTCCTGGGGTTGCCCAGATCTGGCTGGTGCAAGGCACAGCTACCCAAAGGGAACTGAGAGCATCAGCAGTGCCAGGCGTCCTCATCTTTTCCCACCCTACTCTAGACACCAGGTCCCCAAAGCACTAAAGTGAGGGCAGAAGGAAGGAGGTCATGGACTATCCTGAGTCGGAAGAAACCCCCAGGGACCATCAGTCCCACTCCTGGCCCTGCACAGACACTCCAACAATCCCTTCCTGTGCCTCAGAGCATTGGCTAAACACTCCTGGAGCTCTGGCAGCTTTGGGGCCATGACTGTTCCCTGGGGAGCCTGGGCAGTGCCCAACCATCCTCTGGGGGAAGAACCTTTCCCTAATATCCAACCAAAATACTCGAGGCCCATCTGAGCCACACAGGCACTGATGATCCCTTTGCTGGATTCTGCTCCATCCAAGTGCAGTGCCAAGGTGGGCATCTGGAGGGGTCAGCACCCAGCAGCACCATGACAAAGTGACAGACACTGTGCCCATCACCCAGAGCAGAGGCCTCCAAGGGTGCTCTCCTGCCCTGAGCATCCCTTGGGTGGCTGTGACACCTGGTACTCCCATCACCTGTCCTCTCCTGCTATCTCAGCAGCCTGTGATCCTCCAGTCATGTTGCTTTGTGCCTCGTCACCCCCAGCCCCTACTGCTGGGCCAAGCTAGGCACTCAATGGTGCTGCACTCTCCCTGACCAAGCTGTTTCCAGTAAAGCCAGAAACAAGCATGGAAAGGGGAACAAGTTTCTTTCTCTTAGAGAGAAAGTGAAACTCAGCACATCCCCTCTCCAACCAGGCAAACCGCAGTGCATGCAAGTTCATCCTTCCCACCCCTCTCCTCTTCCTCCCTACTCCCAGAGAAGAGCTTCCAGCAAACGGAGCTGCTCACACTGCCCTGTCTTCAGCCTCTGCACCAAGGTAATTCACCACAAACAGCTGGGGACACTCTCCTCTTCTGCCACCATTTTCCAGTCCTTGCTCCCTGTTCTCCTTCGTTCTTCACTTCCCCCTCCACAAGGGTTCAAAGTAGAAAAGCAGGGAGAAGATGATGTGGGGGGAAGAGGAATCTGCAGGAATCTGTCCTTGCTCTGTGTGATTGTGGACATCACTGGGCTTTGCAGATTTGTCCCAGGCTGAGAACCTCAGGTTTTGGGATAGCTCCATGTCCTTTCTCCCAGCTCTGTGTGCTGGAGGTTTGGATCCCATTTGCCATTTTTTCCTTTCCTGTTTAGCACTGTCATGTCTTTGCATCCTTTCCTCCTTTGTGCTCTCTATCCCATGGGACCACTGCCCCACATAGCAGTGCTTCTCCCCCCAAACTGGAATAAACATCCTCTACAGGCATCTGAGGTGCCCCTACCCCTGCCCAGGACACGGAGGAAAGGGCTTGTGCCATGCTCCATGTCCTGGGCTTTTCAATCCCAGAGCTCTGTCATGTGCATGCTAGAGATTTTCAGTGCCATCAGTGATTTCAGATCACAGAGCCTCAAAACCCTTCCCTGCATGTGGTGTCTGGTTCTCCATACTGGACAATTCAGTAGATGTCTGGATGCATCTGATGAGGACACCTTATCTCTGACCAAGGTTCATCTGTGTGTTTGCCTCCCTCCCCAGTTCATCCCTGTGCTGTAGGAAGCAGGATGCAACCTGGATTCTTGCTGGCAGCCAGTACCCTGGCAGCAGTGCTGGGCATGGCCCTGCTGGAGGATGGAGTGTGTAGAGCACCGGATGGCAAGAATGGCTCCCCTGGAGTCCCTGGCCGTGATGGGAGGCCAGGGCAGAAGGGTGATGTGGGAGAGCCAGGTAAGAGGAAGCCAGGGATGTTGGGGGCCTGGGAGCCTCTTGGTAGGAGCATCCCAAGCTGTGGGAGCAGCTCAGGAGATGCCAGATGTGCATGAACTCCTTCTCCTCCCCACTTCTCCCCAGGGAGAGCGGCACTGAGCCCGAGCATCAAGGGACCCGAAGGGGATGCAGGCGAACCAGGGCCTCCTGGCCCACCAGGCATGCGTGGCCTACCTGGCTCTCTTGGCCATCACGGGTTGCCAGGGATGCGAGGGCCACCAGGACACAAAGGGCAAGCTGGTGACGTTTTGGAGCACCCGCGTCCCGCCTTCTCCGCCTCCAGGCTGTCCCCGCCACGCGCAGGCACCACGGTGGTGTTTGACAGGATCATCACCAACCAGGAGAACTCCTACAGCCCCCAGACCGGGAAGTTCACCTGCCGCATTCCCGGGCTCTACTACTTCGCCTTCCAGGTGGTGTCCAGCGGAGACCTGTGTCTGAGCATCGCCAAGAACGGGCGGGGCGTGGTCAGCTTCTGCGACAACAACAGCCACGGCATCCTGCAGGTGAACTCGGGCAGCAGCGTGCTCAGCCTGGCCGTAGATGACCACGTGTCCCTGACCACCAGCCCTGCCCAGGGCAGCGCCATTTACAGCGGCTCCGAGGTCGACAGCGTCTTCAGCGGGTTCCTGGTGTCCCCAGAGACAGCCTGAGGGACTCCCACAGCATCGTGGGGTGTCTGCCTGCCTGGCTGCTCCCCTCTGGGTGTGTGGGATGCTTTAGTGCCACAGCACATGGGGATGGTTCCAAATTGAGCATCCAGAAGTGTTCTGTTCTTCCCCAGTGTCACAACTGGCCAAGATGTGGGTCACCACTGCAGCACTCACCTCCATGCTGAGCCTGCCTGCTCTGTCCTGGAGGCTGTGGACCCTCATTCCTTTCTCCTCCTGGGCACTCAAGCTCCAATCCCAGTTGTCACCAGCTGTAGCTCTTTGCTCCTGACTGGGAAATCACTGCCTGCCACTGCTTCGGCTCCACTAACCACTGCAAAAGCCTTCCTGGCACTGGGACACATCCTGTCAACCCATCAGTAAAAAATAAATGCTTCTTCTACCACTACTCCTTGGGTTTTCTTTTCTACTCATGCATCTTCCCCAAACCATCAATATCCTGGACCCCTTCCCAAGCTGCCAGGGAGAGAAGTGATTCCAGCTTGTCCCTGGCACTGCGAAGGCAGAAGGACAGGGAGGAATGGAGTGTCCAATCAGAGCTGACACTTCCAGGGAGGAATAAGAAACATCTGGGACAGGGCTATGTATGTCCTTCTCTGCTGAGCCCAAGGTAGCTGTCCTGCAGGGGAAAACACAGGCAGCAGATCCTGTACCTCACCTGCATGGTCCCAAGTTGGCACCCAAACTCTCCCAGGAAGGCAAAAGGCAGCTGTGGTTCTCTGGCATTACAGCAAGGCGAGACAGGGACATTGGGACATGGATGGGGTTGTGGGGTGATGGTGCTGGAGCTGCCATCAGATGCCATACCCTGGGACTGCTCCTCAGGGGAGCTGCTCCACAAACACTGGGCACTCAAATATTCCCATTCCTGGAGCTATGAGGAGGAGGCTGGGTCACCTGCAAGGAGCAACAACCCAGTGAGGGATCTTGGGGCTTCACCAAGTCCAGCACCCAGCAGAACTTGGAGCATGGGGAAAGGTGCAGATCAGAAACTCTCAAAGGGAAACATTTTCCATTCCTATTTAGGGGTGCAGCATCTTCCCTCAGAGCCAGGCTGTGACCTTGCAACAGCCCCTCAATGCCACAGGAGCTCACTGGAGCTGGCCTGAGGCTTTACTCCCAAGCTGTCCTTCTGCTCAGAAACAAGGGAAGAGGGAAAGCAGGGGATTTGGGGAGGGCTATTCCCTGCAGTGGCTTGGGGGTTGTGCCATATCTCTTTGAGCTGTGTCCCACCTCTTTCCTTCCAGTCCTTCCTGTTGCAGAGGCACCAGTACAGGTTTCAATGGAGAGCCAAGAAAGTGCTGTCTCAGCAGAAAGCATCGGGCAGGAGGATGTGGAATTTGGCAGAGAACAGCTTGGGTTCTGTGTTCACATGGGCCCTTTACCCTTTCCTAACTCTGCGACTTCCTCCATGAGGGTGTCAGGGAGCCGCACCCACTGCGCTGTGCTGGCAGTGACCGCGCGCCCAGCGGGATCGGCAGCCTGGCTTCCCTGCCCTGGTCCCCGCCAGAGGTAAGAGGTGCTGCAGGGTCCCTGTCTTGAGGGTGGGACTGGGAGTCCAGCAGCATGGCACACTGCTGGAGAAGGGGAGAATGAGAGGAGGATGTGGATGAGAGAGGAGGAGGAGAAGAGGACGGAGGCAGAGACACTGACGGGCTGCGCACTTGTGATGGAGACAGGATGCAGCAGCTGTTGGAAGGATTGATCCTGATGGACAGAGTCAGGACAGTCCAGCTGCTGGAGGAGGAGGAGGGAGATCAGCTGTGTGCAGGGAGTTCCAGCCTCGGTGCAGCACAGGGTGACAGTCTGCAGTGCTGTGTGCATCTCCAGGGTTTGGGGACATGGGACTCAGAGGGCTTGGGGCTGGCCATGGGTACCTCAGACCTCATGGCTCCATCCAGACTGAAAGTCCAACTCCCACTGTGCCATCAGGGGCTGCCCTGGGGCTGGAGAAGTGCCTGGGGTCCATCTCCACATGTCCACCTCCCCACTGTCCTGCAGTGTGTATAGGTGGGACATTGAGGATGCACCCATGGCACCCAGGTGTTCCTGGTATATCCAGGCTCCTTTTCTCTGTGTCCTGCAAGCCACCCTGCTGTGACCCCTCACTCCAGCACTTTCTTTCACTTTCCATGCTACAGAACACCAAAATGGAGAACAGATTCTGGGAGCAGCTCTATCTGGCCCTCACCCTCCTCCTCCTGAATCTGGGCTCTGCTGTGGCTGTAGAAAACCCTCACAGCTGCTATGGAGCCCCAGGTCTGCCAGGCATGCCGGGTATACCAGGCAGGGATGGCCGGGATGGACTGAAGGGAGCCAAAGGGGAGCCAGGTGAGTGACTGAGGATGGAAACCACATGGGCTCTTGCAGGGCGCACTGAGTCCTCAATGGCTGGTCTGCCTGGGTTTGCAGGATGTGGAGAGCATCCTCTGTAGTCAGGTGGAAGAGGCAACAGCACTCTCCTGCCTAAAGAAGGAGAAGGGGCTAGAGAAACCTCTCCCCACATCCTGCCATTGACACTGACTCCCTTTCACACCCCACCACCCCACAGGTATCCCAGCTTCTTCTACACAGCTAGGGCCCAAGGGCATGAAAGGGGAACCAGGCCCCCCTGGCCCTCCAGGCAAGCGTGGCCCCCCTGGGCTCCCTGGTGCAATGGGAATCCCTGGGGAGCCGGGCCATGCCGGCCCCCCGGGAATGCCAGGCAGCTCCAAGCAGAAGCAGCAGTCAGCGTTCTCAGTGACGAGGCAGACCAGCCAGTACCCCTTGAAGAACATCCCCGTGGTTTTCAACAACGTCATCACCAACACCAACCATGACTACAACACCACCACGGGCAAGTTCACCTGCAGGTTCCCTGGGGTCTACTACTTCGTCTTCCACAGCTCACACACAGCCAACCTCTGTGTCATCCTGCACAAAAACCAGAGGAGGATGGCCAGCTTCTGTGACCACAAGACCAACACCATGCAGGTCAGCTCGGGGGGGACACTGCTGCACCTGGCTGCTGCGGACGAGGTCTGGCTGGGAGTGAACGACTACAACGGCATGGTGGGCATCGCCAACTCCGACAGCATCTTCTCAGGCTTCCTGCTCTTCCCAGACTAGAGGAGCAGCAGAGCTCACCCCAGCACCCCGACACCTTCTACCTGCCCTGAACACACTGCTCGCTGCTGGGCTCTTCCTGATGCTCCCAGTTTCTCTGCAGGGAGGGCATCAAGCCCAGCAGCCAGACCCAGCCCTCGGTCTGGGGGCTGAGCATGGTAGCTGTTGCACAGGGGGAACAGGCACATCTGGTACATCTGCACCCAGAGTGATGGTGCTGAGCTCCTGGTCCTGCTGGCCCTGCCACGTGCATCCCCCCTTGCTAACCCCACATTACTTCAGAGGTCTGCCTGTGTTTTTCCTCTCCCCACCTGGGCTGCCTCAGGTTCAGCCAGGTGTCCTGGCCCAGGCTGCAGCAACCCCTTTGCCATGAGCTGGCTGTGGAAAGTGTCAATAAATCCTTCTCCAGTGCACCTGGTGTAGTGTGTTTTTTCCTCCATGTCCTACCTCTCTGTGATGTGCACAAATATGCAGGTGACATCTGGCCATCTGTGTGGCATCACCATGTCCCCAAGCCTCACCAGCATCAGAGACCACCACACCCCACCTGCACCCGTTTGCACAGGGAGTGGGACCCCTGCTGCTTCAGGAACAGGATGGTTCCTGTGTCCCCACACAGCCCCTATCAAGAGGGCACCAAGACTCATCCAAGCAGGACCCTGACACTCCCCTTCCCTTCAAAGCTCTACAGGAGCACAGACTGCAAAGGAAACCCCAACACCATGGCTGGGACATCCCTGGGGTCCCTACCAGGCTGAGGCTGGGGAAGCACTCTGGCTTTCCTGAGCCCAACCAAAGGAGCTCATGGTTGTGGAGGATGCAGAACTCACCAAAACCCAGCAGGGATTTCTCCTGGTGTCACACATTGAAGGGTGGAACAAGGCAGTCACCTCTCCGAACATCCTGTACTTCACTTCCACAAGGCAGTAACCAAAGCAGGGAATACTTTTCCCACAGGGTAAAATCACTTCCCATGCTCAATATTCAGAAGAGTCCGAGGCACAGACTCAAGGTGGTGGATGCTGAGACCCTGCAGCATCCCCTGGGCCTGCAGAGCTGGAAGTGTGCAGAGCAGCATGAGGAGGGCTGCCTGAGTGCATGCACATTTCTGCAGCTCTGATGGGTTACCTTAAACTTATCTGGAGCTCCAAAGAGTATTCCTCATAGCAAGCACCCCTGAGCAGGACCCAGGGACCCTGCAGGGCAGAGCTGTGGCTGGAGGGACTCGGAGTGCTATTTGGGGATGGCTTGTCCTGCTCAGCTGACAACAGCATTTGTGGAGGATCTGAAACTGCCACGGAAAAAGGACAGGAGCTAAAGATAAAAAGGGGATGTGTCCCAGATCCTTTCACAATAACCCTTGCAGCAAACTTCTGCTTCTCCTCTCGGGCATTTCTGAGCAGGACACGGGGGTGTCCTGCTCCATCTCCCCACCTGATGAACAAGGAGCTCAAGGTAAGAGCAAGACTGAGCCCAAGGTTCCCCCCACAGGCAGGAGCACATGGGGAACCCTGCTCTGGTAGGGTGACAGTCACCTGCATTGCTGGCACTTCCCTGTGGCCTGGGGCAGAAGAGAAACTGGGGGTGGAGGTGCTGGTCTGGGGTGGTGGAGGTCCCTGATGAGACCCTGACCCCTCCTGTTACACCCAGAAGAAGGAAAACATAAAAGCAGAGATGGCAGAGTTCCAGAAGGGTTGTCAGAGACTGAAAGGTGCAGTCTGAAAGGCGCCCTGGGAGTGCTCTCCTGCCCTGAGAAGCTCCTGTCTTCTGATGGGCCTGGGCTGGGAGCCTGTGGATCAGTCCTTGTTCCTGCTGCACCCAAATCAGAACGGCTGTGGCTGGAGGATCCAACTCACCAATCTTTTGTCCTGCTGGCACCAGAGCTTCAGCACTGGGAAAATCCACCTGAGGTGGGGGAGTTGTGGCTGGGGTGCTGTGATGTCCAGATACAGCCCCCAAAGGCCCGGTGCTTATCCACATGTGGCCACACCAGGATCTGGGGGAAGAAGTTGGGCAGGAAGGGCAGGAAGAAGGTAAGGCCCCAGGCATGGAAGCCCAGATAACTGTCCCAGTGAGGCTTGTTAGATACAGAAATGCCTCTGGCATTGAGCAGCTGTGTGACAGGTCACAAGGGGAACCTGTGGGATGGAGGAGGGAGGTTTGGGGGCTCATTACCACCTTCAAGGACTGGCGCTGTCCCTTAGACATGCTGGTGGAAGGCAAGGCCTGTTCCCTTGCAGATGACAAAACTGCTCTGGTTGGGTAAGGATTTTACCCTGCAAGTATGGTCCTGAGATGAGATGGGGAATTTCTCCTGCAAGGCAGCAGCACGGCCACGTTGGACATCAGATCTCTGAGATAACCTGTCCCAAATATTCATGTGGCTGAAGCTGTGGGCACTTGTAAAATGGGGATTTAAGAATGACGAGCAACTGCAAGCTCTGCCTTGCCCAAGGGTTAGGTCCTTTGCTCCAGCGCCAGCAGGAAAGTGGATTTGGCTCTGCAGTAGGATGTTTTCCCTCCCTGATGCCTGATGGTATTACCTAGACTTGCAGTCACCATCTCTCAGAGCAGCTCAGAGTGCCTTCCCCAGCCCTCCCACCACCCAGGAAAGCCCCTGACACCGTTCCATGCTCCCACAGATGTGGCTCTTGTGGGCTATGCTGATCTGCCTGGCTGGAGGGCAGCCTGCCAGTGCCACACTCTGCAAGACCTATGGCACCATCCCGGGCATCCCAGGATTACCAGGACAGCCTGGCAGCGATGGCAGGGATGGGGAGAACGGCCCAAAGGGTGAACAAGGTAAGGAAGAGGCTACAGGTGGGTAAAACACTGTCTTGTGAATGCCAAGAGCAAGGAAAGACAGTGCCAGGTGCATGGTTCTGGGAAAGCAACCCATTTCCACCAGTTCTTTGAGGTCTTGTCAGGTGGGGATGATGGAGCACCCCAAGGAACCTGGGGAAGGAGGGGGATGACAGCAAGGTGTGTCACACCTGCCTGTTGGGCAGTGGAGAACCACACCCAGCACAGGTTTCCTTGCTCGTGCTTCCTCTCTGCAGACAAATGGGGCTTGGCTGTGACCACAATAACTCTTCCTCCTCTTTCCTAGGACCCTCTGGCCAGAGTGAAGAAGGGAGAGGGGAGAAGGGAGTCCCGGGACTGCCGGGACAGCCTGGGAAGGTCGGTCCCAGTGGCATCCCAGGTCAAATGGGCTTACCAGGTACCAGGGGACCGCCAGGCCCCATGGGAGAACCTGGTGACTACAAGGTCACCTTCAAGTCCGGGTTCTCCGCTGCCAGGAGCATCAGCTCCTACCCGCGCCGGGAGCAGCCCATCCGCTTCGACCGCGTCATCACCAACGAGAAGGGGCACTACGAGAACCGCTACGGCCGCTTCACCTGCCGCGTGCCCGGCACCTACTACTTCACCTACCACGTCACCTCCCGGGGCAACCTGTGCCTCAACATCAAAAAGGGCCAGGGTGCCAGCAGGGGCGAGAGGGTGGTGACCTTCTGTGACTTCGTGCACAACAGTTTCCAGGTCACCACAGGTGGTGTGGTCCTCAAGATGGCCATGAACGAGTCTGTCTGGCTGGAGCCAACAGAGAAGAACTCCTTGGTGGGGCTGGAAGGGTCTGACAGCATCTTCTCTGGCTTCCTCATCTTCCCTGAGGCTTAGCCCACTGGAGATGTGTCTGGCCAATCTCTGCAGTACGTGCAGAACTGAGGACTCCCTTGGAAACTCTTTGCTCCCAAATTAGTGCTTGAAGCACACTGCTGCCATTCTTGCACAATAAATGAGAGCTCTTCGCACTATTGGTCCCTTTCTGGATAGGATTTTGCCTTTTTCCTCACAAATAATTTTTACACAACCAGGGCACTGGTTCTCACCCTCTTGGGTGCAGCCCAGGCTCATTAGCATCTCCTTACTGCTGAGTGGAGCCAGACAAGTCAAGCAGTTCCTGCTGCAGACCAGGCTGAGTATCTCCATCCAGAGCTACTCAAAGGGTTCCAGCCCAGGGTTAGGAAAACATGGAGAGGCAGCTCAGCCTTTAGTAGGGGGCAGGACAGTGACATAGTGGGAAAACTGGGGCCACTGGGTACTGGTGGTAGGTGGGGAGATGCTGGAGATGGTGCTGTACTGGAGAGTCCTGGCAGTGGCAGGATCTGGCCACCACCAACCTCTCTCTGACTTTTTTTTATTTGGGGGGTGGTTGCGGTGACAGAAATACCCACAGAAGGTTGTCAAAGCTTGTGGCAGGGCGGGGCAGGTCAGTGTGGGCCAAACAAGCGGATGCCATGATGGGGGTGGTGTGGAGGACAGCCCCACTACAGCCTCCAAACCCCCGCAGAGAGCTGTGCTCCACGTCCTGGAGCACAGCCAAGCCCTCCCAGCACGCTCCTTATCAACAGCAGAGCTGTGGACCCAGGAATGTCCAGATGAATTAAAGCTGAGGAGCCCAGGGACAGCCCTGGCCGCGGGGCAGGTGACAACCCAGCATTGCACCCGTGTGGGTGGGCTGCCTGCAGCCCCCAGCCCATCTCGTGGGCCTGGACACGGGGCATTCGGGAACTTTTGTGGGAGTCTGAGATTTGAAAGGGTCTGGATTGAAAGGATGATGATAAAAGGTCTTGGGGAGGTGAGTGTGCTACGGGCAGATTTAATGGAGCGTTACCCCTGCGGTCTGCAGTTTGTCCGTGAGTCCCGGTCCCCAGCCCTGGGCTGCTCAGGGCTCCCGGCCCCAGCGCAGACAGCGGCTCGGGCTGTGGTGACCCGCTCGGAGCCTCCTGTCCGGGGCGATCTGCCGGCAGGTGGCACTGGAGACTGGCGGGTGGCATTGGAGACTGGTGGTGGCACTGGAGACTGGCAGGTGGCACTGGAGACTGGTGGTGGCACTGGACACTGGCAGGTGGCACTGGAGACTGGTGGTGGCACTGCAGGTGGCGCTGAAGACTGGTGGGGGCACTGGACACTGGCAGGTGGCACTGGACACTGGCAGGTGGCACTGGAGACTGGTGGTGGCACTGGACACTGGCAGGTGGCACTGGAGACTGGCGGGTGGCACTGGACACTGGCGGGTGGCACTGGACACTGGCTCAGTCCCCAGCTGGCAGCGGCAGCAGCCTCCCCCGGCCGGCTGGGCGGCACAGCTCCGGGACGGGCAGCGCCAGGGGCTCTGCTGTGCCCACAAGGTCTGGGAGGAGGCAGAGGGCAGGATCAGCCCGGTTCATAGCTCCTCCTCACCACCACCTCGGAGCTTTATCCTTCCTGCAGCAAAATCTGTGCCTTCTGTCCCCTGGGGTGCAGCCAGCCACGTCCCCAGGCTCTGCTGCTCTCAGCCACCAAACCCCCGGTGTTTCACAGCTGGAGATGCAGCATCACAAATAAAACTGAGCTGGGC